ATTTTATAGTTGCCCGTCTTATCCCCAAACTCAATGTCAGAAGTTCAGCACGATTTTTCTCTGTGGACAATTTGATGCAGACAAAGCAAATCCGCGGTAACTGAAGACTGGTGGCATATGAGTGTACCACAAGTGATTGCGAGCTTTTAACTCTATAGTGCTGCACACAAAAGCTTGCACAATACATTATGGAAGTTTTCAATGAAATGAGTGTTTTAAAGAAATCAAAATAAAAGATTATCGACTGAACATAAATTCACCAGACTTCAATAGTGGTGTGTAGTGGGAAAGGCAATTCTGGTCCTAATTTTTCTCGCTCGTAGCGCTATTGGTTTGGTCTGCAGAAGGGGTGCCCGTCTTACCTACCCTGACCGTCTTACCCCACTTTCCCCTACATAAGTTTTGCAAACAAAAAAAAGTTTTGTGTTTCTTGATGATCGTTCTCGTGTAGTGCCCAACGTCCGCCTGCCACATTCCTATTTCCTTCTGTGCACGCCTTAACAATATAACACACACACATGACATTCTACCATACGACACATTACGCTTCTGCCCCACCCGGCGCCCCGCACCGCTTCACGAATCACGAATACGGTCGTCTCGCTGGAGCGATGCCCCAGGCAATCGGCCGTGCCCGAGACTCTTCATCCTACCCTGTTGCTTTCTGCGCCTTCCTCAGAAACATCTAACGCTGCCAAATATATCAATAAGTTTGGTCATGCAGAGGCTTACGCATGATCTTATAGGTAATCGGGTAGTGACCTGACCCAACCTGACGATGAGATAGGTGCAACTCCGGCTTAAATAAATATTCAGAGTTCAAGAGTCCATCTATCTTTCCTTCTACGGCCGGTTCCGTTCCAATAGATCCTAGCTTTGATTCTGATCATTCTGAATATTCTGAGCTGGTTCGACGTTTAAATACCAAAATAAGGAGAAGAGGACACCAAATGCCCTCGAACGGATGATTTTTTGGCTTTCGTCCCGGAACAAAGTTGCCAGCTTAACTTGTCTCCATTATGTGGTCCCGCTGCGACCTCTCCGCGGTGCTGACACCGACTGAAGCGGCATAGACCCATCGCGGTCACGGCCGGTGGGCGGAGTCAAGTTGAGCACGGCGTAACGTGATTGGCCAGCGCTCCTATCCAATCCGGTGCGGCAACGAGCGAGCCTCTATCCGGGTGCAAAAACTGATTAACATTACGAGCCAACGACAAGTGCTCTAAATTTTGATATTTTGTTAAGAGACCATATTGACAAAAATTGGCGCTTGAGCTGAAATATGGTCTGCCAAAATTTCAAGCTAATTGGACAAAAATTGAAGAAATTATCGCCGAAAAACAGGGTCTCATGGGGTCTGAAATGCATAGTAGTTCCTCAGTTGACTGTTTCCCTGGATGCAGCTTGGCAATGTGAGCTAACTTTTGGCAAGTTGAAGGTTAGCAGGTAAGATTGAGTTAGAGTGAGTACCTACCTATAACTGGGTGCTACTGCTATGCAGGTCTTGGGTAGGCTGCAAATATGTGTGATGATTGAGGCTATGTCAGCTGTCAGGTTAGTCAGGAGTATGCTCATTGCTCAGGTCACATTTTTATGGACACTTGGCAAATTAAAAAACTAACAATCTAATCTAAGCTAACCCGACTAAACATACACAACTACTGACTATAGGAACTAAGCACCTACCGTTTATATAGCCTTGGCACCTACCTACTTGTGCCTACATCTCATACCATGTCAAAGTAGAGTTCCTTGGTGGAAGATTACCCTCAGTACTTTTTATCCCAGCCCTGTGAAGAAAACTAATACTTCTAAGCTCTGAGTCACTGCTGGCCTTCCACAGGAAGAAATGCTGAGACTGAGAGCTTTGCCATTGTATATTGGACCAATAATCACTATCACGAATGACTATGAACACATTATATGATCACATTGTTGCATGGATTGTCACATTGACAATTCTACTACAATCCTTTTTTTCAAGAAATACAATGATGATTAATATCAAAATCAACATAAAGTGGATTTAGTGATCCAAGCTTTCTCCTCCAGTAGCAATGGAATGATCGCATGTTTAATTTGCCAGACACTGACCCAATAAACATGCCGACGTCGGCCCGACGTCGGGCCGAGGCTCGGCCCGACGTCGGCCCAACGTCGGTTCAACCTCGGCCCGACATCGGCTGGACGTCGGATATGCCCGCATGTTCCGACGTCCAGCCGAAGTTCAGCCGACGTCGAGCCGACGTCGGGCCGAGATCGTTTGCCGAGGTTGACGAGATCGTTTGTCGTTGGACCGACGGGGCCGACGTCGGCATGTTTATTGGGACAACGCGCCAAAAATATCAACCGGCGGCGGGATTCGAGCCCCCCAGTCGCCGACGTCGGCATGTTTACTGGGACAACACGCCAAAAGCATCGGTCGGCGATGGGATTCGAACCCCGTGTCATTCGAATGCGAGGTTAGTGCGCTAACCACTACACCACGCAGCCAGCTAACGGATATGGTTTGTTTTGTTGGGTTATGCCCTTTCGGTTTGACAAGACCATTTCAGAGCCGGAAGGATCATAGGATGGAGACATTGGTCTTCTTGGCCAGCACCCTGGGTCCAGATCATATAGAGTCCCTGGTCCCATTGCTGTTACGTGACACTTATTGGAAAGGGCGACCCCACAATGGATTCATATAGCCACTCTTACACACCTGCACCAACGTTTCCCAAAGTGTCCCTTTGATAAGTGGCACTTTGGCAAAGTGACACTTGCCGACTGGCCTTTCTATCTGGGCCCGGCCCTGGTGAGTTGCCGGGGCTGAGCCTGACCAAAGGATAGGCCGAGCAGCCCCCAAGCACTCACCGCACCCGGCTACGGGCGAGCTCGGCTTACGGGCAATCCCAAATGGGATTAAGTTTCCCGTCCAGTCCGGATCAGGGGGTTGCGGCGTGGAGGAAGATTTGAGTTTCCTGAGGATATTTTGAATACAGAAGCTCTTTATGAAACATGAAACATGCATTTTATATTATTTTAACGGTCAAAACAGCGGCCGATGTCGGTCCGACGTCGCCCCGACGTCGGCCCGACGTCGGCTGGACCTCAGCAATTGATCTCGGTCCGACGTCGGCCCGACGTCGGCTGGACCTCGGCTGGACGTCGGAACATGCGGTCATATCCGACATCCAGCCGACGTCGTGCCGATGTTGGACCGACGTCGGGCCGACGTCGGCATGCCGATGCCGAGTTGTCGACGTCACCCCGACGTCGGCCGACGTCGGACCGACGTCGGCATGTTTACTGGGGAGTACCTGATGCACATTACAATCTGCATAGCATGAAGCATCTAAGCTGCCCAAGTCCATTCATTCTAGATTTTTAACTTGAAAGTTAGCACTAATTTATCTTGCTGTTGTAAGTTATCATTCAATATCCATACCAATACATCAATATGCGCTCACCAGTCACCAGTCAACATTGACATTTTCTGGCATGATCCTGCTCAGCGTGCTCTTCAGTAGGTATTGCTCCAAAGTCTGCAATATTATAGCTTGTTTTTGGCCAATAAGCTCTTTTAATTTTACTTTTTCTTGCTGATATATGAGCCCGATCACCTTGCGTTTATCAACCAAAATTTCATAACTTGTTCAACTTGATATTGATATTGCTCAGGAGTCAGGACCTCTGTCAGCCTCCTGGATACTTCGGATTGTTTTCAGTCAACATGCTTCTTAAATATGATATAAGTCAATATTCAAAACATCCTACAAAACGACGTACAAGAGTAAGAAAACCACCAGATAAACTAAAAAATGGCCTTGGAACAGAGCCAAGTGGTGCTCCATTTGTTTGTTTACAATGATTGTAGTGCTGATGTATTTTTAGGACTCTGAACGTCGGCTTATAAAAAATGAAACGTTTTTACAAAAGCTGTAAGGCAAGTAATATTTATCTGAAAGAACTAAAATATTCAAAAGTCAAACACTATGAAATACATGAATCGGAACGAAAAAGTAACCCAAAAATCCAGCCAAATCACCGGCTCCTAAAACTGCAACAAAATCAGCACTTTTCCCCGCAACTCGTTGTCCAGACGTAAATATGCACTCGTCCCAACACTTGGTACGCCGTACGATTGTACCCAAGGACATCTATTGTACCAAAAGCCCTAAACCGCTGCCGATACAAAAGTCTGTTCGCTTCCAAATTACCACTTAGGCGGAAACACATCGCAACCTTACAAATACACGTGCACAGCGGTTCTCGAGTATAAGTATCGACCGAATTCCAAATCAAAGCAAACCATCCGGGCCTCCGGGCGTTTGAATCCGGGCTGTGACCTAGGGGCTGTCGGAGAATCGTACCTTTTGACCTGCCCAAGTCAAACGGGGTCACGTGGCGAGAAGCGGTTTCAAGGAAAAGCTACTACGTCTCATGGGCTACCCGATGGTGTGCTTTGATTTGGAATTCGGTCGGTCCGTATCCTCGAGAACCGCTGTGCACGTGTATTTTCGACATAGCCCGCAAATGACCTTAGGTCAACGCATGACCGCGGGAGGTCAAGTTGCTAGTGGGAAAGTAAGATCAGATGCCTGCGAGTCATTTTATGCCGTTTATAGCGCTCTAGCTCCACTTGGAAGGGTCATAATCTGCTGTGTGAATTTGGGCCACGTGACCTTTGCTGACCTCTGATATATGTAGGTCTAACGGCTGGAAGTGCCACCGAATGACTTGGACTGTGCATTGGGCATGTCACGGCTTACATTGTGTGCAAGTTTCAGCTCGATCTGAGGTGTCCCGAATCTGGGCTGAATCTGGGCTGGATATGGGCTGTCTTGAACATCAAAAAACCTGAGGGAGGCGTGGGAAGAAATGTCCCGCTCGGGCCCTCACCCCTCTGCGGCGGTGAGTGCTAACACCTCTAATGATTTACGACTGTCGAATATCACACAGCTGTCATAATGGACCCCGAGTCCAGACGTGGCCACCCCTCTCTCTCTCTGACTCACCTATCACAGTGCAGTAGGAAAAGAACAACTGATGAAACTGAGACGCGAACGAGGTGAAGAGACAGCCCAGTGCTGCCACCAGGCCGCCCAGCACGGCAGTTAGTCGTGTCGACTTCCGCCGACAGATGGCAATGGTGAGCGGTGATACGGCCAGCGACAGGGCCATGGAGAATGCGCCCACACAGCCTGCGAACGGAGGGGAGGCGAGGGTCAGGGGCGGGGCATCACCGTGCCGTTTCCCATCCCCAGGATAGTCAAATCCTTCTCCTCCACGCCTCAACCCCCATAGGCGCGGGAGCCGGGGGGGGGCAGTGGGGGCAGCTTGCCCCCCCAACTCTGGGGCCGTGGGGGCGGTGCCCCCACAGCTTTGAGACGGAATACCACACTTTTTTTGCAAAGTTTTCTTTTTTTTGTTGAAAAAGCCGAGGGGTGAAAAATAAGTGGCCTAAAACCGGTGAGAAAACTAGATTTGGGGGTACCCTAGGTTAATATCTATTATGGTGTGCCCCCCCAGTCGGAAAGTAGTTCCCGCGCCCCTGTCAACCCCTGTTCCGGGCTGGACGGGCAACATTATCGGTTATCCTATATGCGGGAAGCTCCCATAGCAGCGAGCCTGAAGCCGAATGCAGTCAGTGTTTGGGGGCTGGGTGGCCCGTTCACTTGATGGTGGCCTGTGGCCACTCAACAAATGTTGCCATGGCGAGTTATATGCCTACTGTCTGCTGTGGAATCGATTCATCGTGCGTACCTTATATCATTTTACTCGCGTTTCCTGTTTTCAGAAACGCGATAACAGGACTTCGGAGATAGGACTGGATTACGGCTGATGGTCTTATCGGGCATCGCGTCGTCCTAAAGTCACTTTCCAGTCACTGACCGAGCCAATAAGTACCAAACCAATTCCTCGTCCTGGTCCAGGTGCGTCAATAATGCTCACATTTGACTTTACTCAACCAAAGATAACCATGGATTCAGTCATAAGTAACTCATTGGTCAATGTAAAACATTTGCAACTGCAATAGAAGTTTAATTGCCCTAGTTTGAATGTCAAGGTAATACAATAGGAAACTAATATATTTGGCTGACATTGAGCATACAAAGCCGTTTTAAGAACAAAAGTCTACGTTTCTAATATTGCTTCTCACAAGGTTTCAAAAGCATCTAACTTCCCTTAAGAAAACCTAAGATTTGAGATTCTCCTACATTTGTTAGCATGGCTGGGTTACATCAGCATTCAGCATGCTGATACACATTCCAGCTTTTACAACTAGACTTCGTGCCTCGGCTTTATCATATATCGACTAAGTGGGAGTACAAGGCTATATCGAACAAAGCAGCTATGTAGAGACGAAATGAGCAAAAATGGATCTTATCAAAGGGCACTTTATACTAATACGATTGCGGTAAAACACATGCTATCAGGATATTCCTGACATAAACTGATAATTTCGTGTGAGCTATTGATCGAGAAATATGTTATGCTCGAACATCAGCCGAGGTTAATGAATAAATGCATGCATTTGGATAAAACTGCAACTTTCACGTGAACAGATTATTCAGGTTTCATGGCATTTCAATATTTATTCAGGGTGTAATCAGCAGTTTATAATCATATATATCTTAAAAATATGCATCGCCATAGTTAGAAGAGCTGCATGTCGCTCAACTAAAAATCACGTATATGGTATATTTCACATAATCTCTGCATCGCTTACAAACTACACCCAACCCGGCTGATCACCGATAGTCCCTGCCTTACAGCGCTGATTAACGACAATAACACTGCGCCCCTGAGCAGCGCTAAAGCCATGTTCAGACCGGATAATCGCCTCCCAACACGCACCGGCCACAGCCCACCCCAACGGTGACGAAAAGGGAACATTCCACCGGCATTTTCTCGCATATTCAGCTGTGTTTCTCGCCAAATGCGAAATCACGACCGCTTTGAACAGCCATGATTAATTGTTATCCGTGAAAGCTGTACGGTGAAGCCGGAAAATTATCTCACACATCATTTATTGGTCCAAATGACCTACCGTCCCCATGCGGGAATTTTGATTAATTCATCGTTTGGTTTTATTCATCGTTTCACTGTTAGGCTAATATCATTTGTTAGAGGTTGTAAATGGAAAAATGTCGCATTATCGCACCTCAACTGACATTTAGGATTGGTGCTCACTGCTCAAATCATTTCCTTGCGTTATCCGAGATAAGCTCTAATGTAATGACATCTGCGGTATTCCACGGGCTCAGCCATTTATGATCATTGAACGCAGCGCAGTATGGAAATTGTTAGGGCACCAGCGGCCCTATAAGGTGCATCTCTCTCTCTCTCTCTCTCTCTCTCTCTCTCTCTCTCTCTCTCTCTCTCTCTCTCTCTCTCTCTCTCTCTCTCTCTCTCTCTCTCTCTCTCTCTCTCTCTCTTTCTCTCTTTCTTCTCTCTCTCTCTCTCTCTCTCTCTCTCTCTCTCTCTCTCTCTCTCTCTCTCTCTCTCTCTCTCTCTCTCTCTCTCTCTCTCTCTCGTCAAATAATTGAAACAGTCATCAAAGACGTGGCACACCATTCATGGCTGTAAAATCCAGTATTCTTATCTCTGATAGATAGAAACCCCTATCCAAGGGGGCGTCTTACAGGTCAGAAGTGCTCCACTTGTAATCATTACGGAGTCTGTGTCTCAAGTCTCGTTTCACAGCGTCTGACAATCTACCGAAAGAGGGCGGGGAGGAATAACAGAGCTGAGGAGCGACCCACCAAAAATCGCGTGCCTAATATATGAGGTGGAAAAATGACCAAACGAACCCGGAGTTGGCAGCCAAAGTTCATATAAAGCGGACGATATCGTCGGAGAAAATAATCAGACTCGACTCTGCGCCAAATCAGCCAACTTGCCAGCGAAGGAGCCGGGTGAGGTTTTTAATCTTCCGGTCCGAGGGGAGTCTCGAGGGAGTGCGCGCGCTGTGTGCGTAGCTCTCGGTAACAGACAGGGGAAGAGTTGGGCCCAGGGGACCGTTATCACTGCTCTCAGCTCTGATAGGATGCTGTGTGTGTAGCATGCTTTATCCAACAATCACATGTCCAATAAGCACTTGCACAGGT